GTAATCCCAGCAACTCAGGAGGCTGAGGCAGGAGAATCACTTGAACCTGGGAGGTGGAGGTTGCAGTGAGCCGAGATCACACCACTGCACTCCGACCTGGCAACAGAGCAAGACTCTGTCTCAAAAAAAAAAAAGAAAAAAAAAAAAAATTAGCAAGATTTTCCAGAAGCCGTAAGGCTGCCAGGAATTGTTGTTTAGTGCCTGGGGGAACGGCGGCCCCTAGCGTCGGTAGGGTTGGGGACTGCCCTCCCCATTGGCCCTTTCACTGTGAGAGACCTAGTCATGGCTACCGTCAGAGCCAGGTTTCTAGCCGTTTTAGGAAAAGTGTAGCTGAAGGTATAGGTTATTGTTGTGGTAACAACACATCTCACTTCTGAGTGCCACCCACGTGCCAGCCTCTTCTTGGGTGGTGTGGGCTTAGCTGGTGCCCAAGGCAGGAAGGAGCCGCTCAGGACATGTGGAGCCATCTCTCACACGGCTGTCTCCCTCTGGGCAGGATTACACCAGCGGAGCCATGCTCACCGGTGAGCTCAAGAAGGTACTCATAGAGGTTCTCCAGCCCTTGATCGCAGAGCACCAGGCCCGGCGCAAGCAGGTCACGGACGAGATAGCAAAAGAGTTCATGACTCCCCGGGAGCTGTCCTTCGACTTTCAGTAGCACTCGTTTTACATATGCTTATAAAAGAAGTGATGTATCAATAATCCCAGCCCAGTCAAAGCACTGCCACCCGTAGGCTTCTGTCTCATGATTATTATTGGGCCTGGTCTCTGTAAGCCTGTGTATGTTATCAATACTGTTTCTTCCTGTGAGTTCCATCATTTCTGTCTCTTATGGGCAAAGCATTGTGGGTGATCGGTGCTGGCTAACATTGCATGGTCAGATAGAGAAGTCCAGCTGTGAGTCTCTCCCCAGAGCAGCCCCAAAGAGTGGAGCCTTTGGCTGGAAGTCCACGGACCACCCTGTTCTGGTCCATGGAGGACTCCGAGGGTTCCAAGTATACTCTTAAGACCCACTCTGTTTAAAAATATATATTCTATGTATGCATATATGGAATTGAAATGTCATTATTGTAACCTAGAAAGTGCTTTGAAACATCAATGTGGGGAGGTTTATTGAGCACAAGTTGTATTTCAGCCCACACCCCCTCCCAAAAGAAATTGGTAAGTAAAAGCTTTGCTATACATTTGACTAAGAAATCACCCAGCTTTAAAGCTGCTTTTAACAATGAAGATTGAACAGAGTTGGGCAATTTTGATTAATTGAGACTTGGGGGTGAAACTGTCCAGTTTACTGAACTCCAGACCATGCATGTATTCCACTCCAGAAATCAGCTCGCTTCCCTTGGCATACCAGTATTCTCCCGCCAAATGACCCTAGACCCTCTGTCCTGCAGAATCAGGGTCGCTTTTCCCCTGACTGTGTCCGATGCCAAGGAGTCCTGGCCTTTGCAGATGCTTCGTTTTGACCCTTGGCTGCAGTGGAAGTCAGCACAGAGCAGTGCCCTGGCTGTGTCCCTGGACGGGTGGACTTAGCTAGGGAGAAAGTTGAGGCAGCAGCCCTCGAGGCCCTCACGGGTGTCTAGGCAGGCCTCATTTCATCATGCACCATGAGCAGGTCTGGAAGAGCAAAGCCAAATCTCAGGGAAGCCCTTGGTTGATGTGTCTGGGTCTCCTCTGGAGCGCTCTGCCCTCCTGTCACCCAGTAGAGTGAGTAAACTTCCTTGGCTCCCGCTCTTGGCTCCGGCTCTTGTCATTGTGCTCTGTCTGGCAGGTCTGAGGAGGGAGCAGAGACCCCTCCCCTCACCCTTCTGTGTATGACCTTGAGTCTGCCGGAGTCAAAATTTGGGGATGAAAGTGCACAGTCCCGGGAACCCCATGGTGTTGTGTCACAGCTCCCAGGAATGGGCTTGTGCTGGGAGAGCCCTTAGCAGCATCCCGGTGCGGGCTCCATCTCACACCACATTTCTCATTTCCAGCAGCTGATGGAGAACACAAGCAGAGGTTGTCCTCGCTTTTCAGAGGAGGGGCTGGCTGTGGGGTGCTTGGTGGTGCTGTGTAGTGACAGGGAGCACAGGCTGCGAGCCAGGCCAGGCCCCGTTCACATGAGGCCCAGGGCAGGCGCCGAGCTGCAAGGGAGCCCTGGGCTCATTCTACCGGCTCATCCTCATTTTGCAAGTGGGGAAGCTGAGGCTTAGGAGAGGAGAACATGACTTGTCCAAGGCCATAGGGTGACTCTGACACAGCAAGTCTGTCCTGACTCTTGGGAGGCTGGAGGCCTGGGCTCGAGTCCCACTCAGGTACCCGTGCGCACCATGACCTCACCTACGCCTCCTCCCTGTCTCAACTCCTGCTGAGCTGGGCCTCACCCCTGCCCTCCCCTGCTCACCTGGCTGGCTATGGCCAGTGGGGGTGAGCCACCCACAGAGGCCATGTAGCTCACTAGCCTGTTGCCCTGGGCAACTAATGTGACTCCTTGTAGCTCTACTGCACCTGTGATGCAAGTGCAGTGAGGGGTGACAAGTGACGTCAGTGACAGTGACGTGGGTGTCGTTGTCCACCCAGCCAGAGCATCTATTGGCAGGGCCCTGGTGAGACCCTGGCCCCAGGGAGGAGTGAGCCAACACCGACCAGCTTCTCCCCTCACCGGCTGTGTGACTCTGGCCAGGTCACTTAACCTCCCAGGACCTCCATCTCCTCCCCTGTAAAAAGCAGTGATGCCTCTTGTTTAGGGTCTTAGGAGGGGTGCCCTGGGTCCAATACTCAGGTGACTTGCCCAAGGCCACTGCTGGTCAGGACACAGGGGAGCTGCACGTCTCCCAAACCTCCCCCATTTTGCTAAAAACCAGTGGTTTCTGAGAGAAATGTTCCCTGAAAGGCACGGGCATGTCTGGATTAGGATGGACAGGTTGCAGTGGCCCCATGGGTGTTTGGGGATGAGGCATGAGGCTGGGTGCCAGCACCACCGTGGTGCCGTAGGCTCTGCCAGAAGAGCACTCCTACTCCAGCTGGTGATGTCCACCTGGCAGACAGATGTGGGGCCGGCCCAGCTCAGCCTCTCTGCCCCGTGGCCCCCAGCCTGGAGGAGAGACCAGCTGAGCCTGCCTGAAAGGAGACGGGGCCTGAGAAGCACATAAAACAGCACTGGGTGGGGAAGCAGGGCCAGGAAGGAGGGTGGCTGAGCACACGGGTGGCTGTGGAACAGCTCGCTGCTCCAGGACAGCACTTGGCAAGCAAAAGGCCTGCCTCTGGCCCCCAGTGCCCACCTGCAGCACCAGCAGCTGTGCCCTCCCCAGGGTTACGCTGGCTGGGCCTTGAGGCCCAGGACTCTCTGGTCATTACCATAGAGGTTGTAAAGACAGTGAGGACAGAGGCCCTTCCTGCAAACCCCCTCCCCAGTGACAGGCAGAGCCAGCTGCTCAGTGACACAGGCTCAGGGAGAGCCAAAGGCCCCACCTCCCAGAGTGCAGCCACTGCCAGAGCCGGGCCAGGAGTGCTGCCAGGAACCCTCCTGCCAAGGCCGAACAGGTGGGGTCTTCTCAACACAAATGGTCCCAGGGTCAGTGTTTGATGAACGATGGAAACCGGTTAGCACCTGCCCTTTCCCAGCATTTGGCCACAGCATCTCAGCCTCTGCAACTCCTAAGCTGGACGCACTTCCTGGAATCTACTGCAGGCCTTATTCATTCACTCACTCACTCATTCATCCCACACCCGCTACTGTACAGCAGCCCTGGAGCTAGATGGAGTCCTTGCGCAGCTCACAGGCTCTTGTAGCTGGGGAGAGGCAGACGAGTGACCACACACCCAACTAGGTCCCCACGGGAGCAGAGCAGGAGATGCTTGGGAGCAACCCAGTGGTCAGGCAAGGAGAGCTTCCCGGAGGAGGTGGCACCTGGGATGTGGAGCCAGCCAGGCAGAGCAGGGGGAGGGTGTTCCTGGCACGGGGCACAGGGCATCAGATCAGGTGTCCACAGCACCACACATATGGGGACTGGCATAACAGGAGCAGACCCAGGAAGGGGGGTCCACCCCTTATTCTGGGAGCAGAAGAGTTCTGTTCGGCAGAGCAGAGGACAGCGTTCAGTGCACAGACACAGTCAAGGTCGGTGTCCCTGAGTGACTATAGTCAATGCAGGTGGCCTCCAGCCCTGCCAGAGGGCTGCTGTGGTGGAGACCCGATGGCTTCACGCTGGACCTGCCAACCCTAGCCCCTGATAGCCCCCATCAGTGGAAGCCACATGATTGATACCAGGAGGAGGGTGCTGGAGCCTCAGAAGCACGGGCTGCAGTCCACCCACCCCTCCTGATGCGTGACTGCAGGCAAGGCCCCCTCCCTCTTGGAGCTGTCTGCTCGCCTGGCATCCGGTGGCTGTGGTGAGCTGTGCAAGGTGCCCGGCACCCTCCCACACAGGGCGGGTGGGAGGGCCTGGCTGGAACCAGCTTTCGCTCAGAAAGCGGGTGGGTTTGGGATGAGGTGGTGAGGAGAGCAAGTACCCTGCTGAACAGCCCCCTGCAGCAGGACTCGGCGCCATAGGCCAGGCCCCACAACCCAGAAGGCTGAGCGGGTGGAGCCCGCCAGAGCGCCAGGCGGTGTTTCAGTGTGCCCATCTGCACAGTGGGAGCGCTGGCAGCTTGGGTTTGGAGGGGGCTCGTCCAGCAGGAAGCGAGCAGGACAGGGCCAGGGCCCTGCACCTCCCAGGATAGGTGGGCAGGCCTCACGGGGTGCGAAGCTGCTGGAGGCAGGGAACGGTCAGCCCACGGCCATGGAGCCACAGCCCTGAACATCCTCAGAAACATTTTATTCACAACAGTTCCCAACAGAGTCTTTGGGGTCTTTGCAGCGTTTTGGGGGTCTTTGCAGAGTCTTTGGGGTCTTTCCAGCGTCCACAGGCAGAGTGAGGGCTCCTGAGGAACCTCACCCCAAATTCCCTAACCGGGTGAGGACGGCCACCCCGGGCCCCTGCCAGGTGGGCATGGCAGTCCCGGCAGCACCCCTGGGAGCAGCCTGCTGTGGGGAACAAGCCAGGCCGGGGGAGCCGTCAGTCATGGTGGGCCAGCCCAGCTCATGCTCCCTGCCCCAAGGCCCCCAGCCTGTGGGAAGCCCCTGCCTGTAAGGGACAGCTCATGAAGACAAGAACAGTGGTGGGGACGAGGGTCTGGGAATGGGACAGAGGTTGGCTGAGCACACACCTGACTCCCTGGAAGTTTGCTCCAAAGACATGGGAGGCGGGGGCCACGGGGAAGCTGGGATGAACAACTGACTCCATGCGACACGCCCTCATCAAAGAGGCCCACTCCTCCCTGGCTCCTGCCACCCCAGGACAACCCTGGCTGATGGCCGGCGGGCCCCTCGACCTGAGGTCAGTAGCTGGGCAGGGCAAGCTCAGGCCTCGGCCGACTCACTGCAGGGAGGCTCCTCGTTTTCCTGGGCAATGGCCCTGTGGGGTCCCAACCCCAGCCACACTACCCCTTGCCTCCTCCAGCCACTACAACCTCCCGCAGCTGCCGGCGGCTGGGCCGCTGAGCGTGGGGACCAGCTATGTGAGCAGACCTTGGGTGAGCCTCAGCACCGCCTCATAGGCGACAAAGACCACCATGTTGACAGGGAAGGCGCGGCAGCAGTTGAGCACCAGCCCCTTGAAAAGGACCCGGGGTCCCTCCTCCCGCACGCTGGTCACCATACAGTGCAGGAGGCCCCGGTAGCGCCTCTGGCCCTGTCCATCTGCCTGCAGTCTCGACTTGATCACGTCCATGGGGGTGGCCACAGCCCAGGCCAGGACTCCCGCACAGCCCCCGGCCACCAGCACGCCCAGAACATCTGCAGAGAGACCACAGTGCCTTGACTGGGAGCCTGATCGGGGCGCCCAGGGCAATGTGCCCTGGACTCACTCTTCCGGCCCATCCTCATTTGCAAGTGGCTTGGGAGAGGGGAAGGGAACTTGTCCACAGCCACACACTGACGCTGACACAGCAACTCTGTGCTGACTCTTGGTGTTGGGGGAACTGAGGAGCCCACCCTGGGAGGCAGGAAGCCGAGTTCAAGCCCCCACTCGGGTACTGGCGGGCAGCAAGACCTCACCTTGTCCTCATCCCGCCGGGCTCCCCGCCCTGCCAGGTTCCAGCCCCTGCTCACCTGGCTGGCTGTGGCCAGCGGGGCTGAGCCGCTCACAGAGGATGGCGTAGGAAAGGAAGTAGGTGGCAAAGGAGTGGCCGTCCCGTAACAGCAGGGCCGAGCTGCCCTTGTAGAGGCCGCGCAGCCCCTCCTCGCGGGCTACTGTGGCCAGGCAGTGAAGCGGTCCGCGGTACTTGGGCTCTGGGCAGGCTGGGGGCGCAGGACACACGGGGGGCACAGCCGAGGGCCCCGAGGCCGAGAGCCGCCGCTGCTGCTTCTGTGCCTGTGTCTGTGTCTGCAGGCGGACTTTGGCCACCTCAGTGGGCGATGTCAGGAACACCTGGACCAGAGAAGGAGGCAGGGGTCAGCCACCTGTGGCTCTGCCCACAGCCTGGACCTGGCCTCCCACCGGCCTCATGTTGCCCACGATGACCTCAGGGGGTTGGGCCCCAAGACCCTGCAGGCTGGCCCAGAGCTGGGGGCCACGGGGTCCAAAGCCAGCTCTGCCCACCAAAGCTCATGCTTCCTCGGCAGCCACATCTCTCCCAGGCGCCAGCCTGCCGGACTTCTCCTGGGAGGTGGTAAGAAAATGTCGGTGACCCAGGTTCAAGAACATATTTAATAACGTATCAGCAATAATAATATCACGGCCGGGCGCAGCGGCTCAAGCCTGTAATCCCAGTACTTTGGGAGGTCAAGGCAGGCGGATCACAAGATCAGGAGTTTGAAACCAGCCTGGCCGATATGGGTGAAACCCCATCTCTACTAAAAATACAAAAATTAGCCGAGCATGGTGGCAGGCGCCTGTAGTCCCAGCTACTCAGGAGGCTGAGGCAGGAGAATTGCTTGAACCTGGGAGGCAGAGGTTGCAGTGAGCTGAGATGGTGCCACTAAACTCTGGCCTAGGCAACCGAGCAAGACTCTGTCTCAAAAAAAAAAAAAAAAAAAAAAATCACTAGACATACTGGGTGCCACTTCGTGGGTACTCATTCATGTCGGACTCCACATACGTGTGCTGGGGGCTTTACCCTCATGATCTCACTAAATTCTCATCAGGCCTCTTACAGATGGAGAGACAGAAGCTCCAGGAGTCTCCCTTGCTTGCCCAAGGTTGCTCAGCTCCTGAGAGTCAGAGCTGAGAGCTGGGCCTGGTGGTCTGGACCCCTGGGCCAGGCCTTCAGCCACTGGGCTGCTCCAGCTGGCTCCGTGCTGTCACCGTGTGCAGAAGTCTGTCCCCACTGCGGGAGCCAGGGCTCCCTGAGGGCAGACGGGCACTGCAGGTGCTCCACGCACAGTTGAGGATGGAGAAATGCCCGCGTCCAGCAACAGCTCACTGTGTTCAGGCATCTCTGTGCCCGGAGCCATGAGTGCCCGGGGCCTGCCTATTCAGCTCCCCATGGTGGCTTCTAGGTGACCTTCTGACCGTGACGGGGAGGGTCTTTTTGGTCACAGCCCCCTTCTCCAGGGGGCCGTGCTGGGCAGGACAGCAGTGAGCCCCTCATCTGTGCACTGCTCAGGGGTTCTGGGCCCAGCCTGGGCGGGATGCCAGTTCCTCTCCCACAGCCCCTGGCTCCATGCATGGCCTCCAGTGTCTGCCCTCATCAAGCCTCAGTTTCCCCACCTGCCAGGGTGGATAACCTCGCAGATTCTGCAGTCTCTCTTGGGTCTTCCCCACCCTGGCTGCCCCTACTCACGCGGACGAGGCCGGAGGCATATCCCGAAAGCGCGACGTCGGCCTTGGAGGGCTTGGCGTCAGGGCTGCTGTACCGGAGCTGGCAGATGTGCGCCAGGCAGTGGCGGTAGGTGCCGAAAGACACGGAGGACACCAGGGACACCGTGCACACAGGAAGCGAGAGGCCGCGATAGAAGCCCCACACCTAGCAGACAGGGTCTAGGTGAGGCCAGGGCCCCGCCAGAAGAAGGAGCCCACCGAGGGAGCCCACACTCAGCCCCGCCCTGCACTCTGCTGTTGGGCCTCGGGAAGGTCATTCACAGTCTCAGGGCCTCAGTTTCCTCTGCTGTAGGATGGAGGTCACGAGGGGAGACCTGAAGAGTCAGAGGACCAGGCCAAACCCAGCGCAGCTGCTTGATGATGATGAACTTTTTTTTTTCTTTTTTTTTTTTGAGACAGAGTCTCACTCTGTTGCCCAGGCTGGAGTGCTGTGGCAAGATCTCAGCTCACCGCAACCTCCACCTCCCAGGTTCAAGCGATTCTCCTGCCTCAGCCTCCTGAGCAGCTGCCTGCTCACCACCTCCAGCTAATTTTTGTATTTTCAGTAAAGACAGGGTTTCACCATGTTGGCAAGGCTGGTCTCGAACTCCTGACCACAGGTGATCCGCCTGCCTCGGCCTCCCAAAGTGCTGGGATTACAGGCGTGAGCCACCGCACCTGGCCTGATAATGAACTATTAACAGCATGTTATGCCTCTACTGCTTTCACAAGCTAGCTCCTGGCCTGCACCAAGCCCCAAGTTCACTTTAGAGAATGTCACCAAGTCCTGCCTCTGGACAGGTCTCTAAGCTAGACCCTGAAGACTCCACCCAACACTGCCTTCAAGGGGCACCTGGCCTGGAGGAGCCAGAAATGCAGTGCATGGGTCCCTCCTCTGACCTTCAAAGGCCTGAATGCTACCTCTAGACCCTCTGCTGGAGGTGGGAACCTCCTTCTGAGGCCCCTCTAGCTGCCAGATGAACTGGCTCCAGTCCTCAGAGGAACTCGCGAGATTGGCAGCACTATTCCCACGTGGAAGGTGAGAGAGCTGAGACCCAGTGGGGAGCCCAGCATCACCTGCTGGGCAGTGGAGGCAGGCCCAGCATCCCCTCCCTGTCTCCCTGCCCACACCCTGGCCCCAGACCTACGCGCTCTCGGTGATACGTATCCCGGATGCAGTGCCAGATGCCTGTGTACTTTGGCTCCGTCTGGATCCTGACCTGCGGGAGAAGTGAGCTTCAGGAAGGAGTAGCTCCAGGCCTAGGGCAAGGCCAGCAGGCCTTGGGGAAGGGGCAGAGTCACCCTCTTGATTGTCCCAGCCATGCTGGACTGTGGGCACAGCAGGGACAGGGAGCCTTGTGTTAGATGAGAAACCTGGGGTGCAGAGGCGAGAAGGTGGGACTGACAGTCCCAGGGGCTATGGGGAGCCACTGAAGGCATTTGAGCAGGAAAGGAGTGGGTCTGTTTAGCATTCTGGAAAGTCTTCTGGCCATGGATGGGTGCAGGGGCCTTGGAATGGTTGGGGGGCTGGCTGCTGCCACACCTTCACCGTGTCCAGGGGGTAGCCCACAGCAACACCGCAGACGCCTGGAAGGAAAGCAGAGGCCCACGGTGAGGAGAGTGGGGCCAGCGAGCAGTTCCGCCCCATTGCAGGGAAGAAGAAGCAGGTGCACACCAACTGGGCTCCCCCAAGGGCAGACCCATGTTTGGCCCTTCTGGTCTGCACCAGGTCTCATCCCCTGAGGGCACCCTCGTTTTATAGATGAGGAAACTGAACCTCCGAGTGACTTCTGCCCTTTGCAAGCGAGTTCCCCTTCCCTGAGTCCTGGCCTGGGATTGCCTCATCCTCGCTGCCTTGGGCCAAAGACATGGCCCGGCCTCCCCACGGGCATCATGTTCTGAGAGAATGTCTGATCCAACCCTGGCTGGGCCCTGTCTCTGAGCCAGGCAGACCTTGCCCTCGAGCCGTCAGTCCGTGGAGGGTTTGCCTGTGAGCTAGGCAGTAACTGCGTTTTGGCTGCGTGGGTGGAAGGAGTGGGAGGCACAGCCTGGGCAAAGGCCAGGAGGAGGGAAGCCCAAGCCCACACCGGGGTTTGTGAAGAGCCAGGACTGCCAGGAATCACAAGTGCGTGTGGAAGAGAAAGGGCCGGGAGTCCACACCTTGCAGAGAGGCTTCAGGTGCCAGGCCTCAACATCCAAGCCCCAGCACTGACACAGGGAAGTCAGACAGGAAATAGGCTGGTCCCTGGGGGGACCATTCTCTCCCCTGAGGGTCAGTGGTAAAGGCCAATGGAAGACAATAGGCACATGGGGACTGTACCCTATTTACTGTGGCCCAGGACTCAGTAAATATGCGGGATGAAAGAATGAAGCGAATAAATGAAGTAAGGCAAAAGACCAAGTGGCTTGGAGAGAATGACCCTTCTTAACCCTCCCGTACACCTCATGCACCTCACAGAACTCCTACTCATCCATCAAAGCCCTGCCACAACACCACCTCCTCTCTGGAGCCCTCTCTGACCTCTGTACTCTGGGCTGACTCTGTGCCTGGAACATGTTGAGCAGAGGCCTTGTCATATGGCCTTGCTGCTGTTGTATGCCACCGCCACCTCCAGAACTGGAGTTCTCCAAGGACATGGCCCAGGGCTGACACCCTATGACCCAGGGCCAGGCACAGAGTGACAGCCCTTTACCTAGGCCTCCCCATGGCTTCAGAGGAAAGATGCCAGACTCAGGAGCCCTTTCCAGCTGTGTGACCTCAGGCAAGTCCAGTAACTTCTCTGAGGAAGGGAGCGGCTGGCCCCAGGCTGGCACCTAGCTGGGGCTCAGAAAGCCTGCTAATGGAGGCCGGGCGCAGTGGCTCACACCTGCAATCCCAACACTTTGGGATGCTGAGGCGGGCAGATCACTTGAGGTCAGGAGTTTGAGATCAGCCTGACCAACATGGTAAAACCCGGCCTCCACTAAAAACCCAAAAATTAGCCAGACATGGTGGTGCATGTCTATAGTCCCAGCTACTTGGGAGGCTGAGGCAGGAGAATCACTTGAACCCAGGAGGCAGAGGTTGCAGTGAGCCAAGATCACGCCACTACATTACAGCCTAGGCAACAGAACAAGACTCCATCTCAAGGAAAAAAAAAGAAAAAGAAAGCCTGTTAATGGGGCAGGTACCCTGCCTTCTCCCAGGCCCAGAGCTTGGCCGCTCTCCCAACCCCCATGCTATTCCCAGAAGTATTGACGCCACCCACTGCTGTTTCACAAGACCAGCAAGGCCAGGAGTGCCCACTCAAAACAGTCCCCACAGCCCACGGGATGGAGCTGAGCCCGTGTCCCAGGGCCTGGTTATCTCACTGAATCAGTCTTTCACCAGGAGCCCTTCCCCAGGAGGGAGAACGGTTTCCCCAGCAGAGTCTGGCCTGAGAAGCAGGTTCCGGAGGCCCAGCCAGGCACACACAGCCAGCGGGGCAGGTGGAGCCAGCTCGCCAGGTCCCTTACCGTCCTCTGCCCGCCCGTTCCAGTACCTGCTGCAGGACCAGGCCCCATCTTCCCTACCCATCTCCCCGCCCTCTCGATCCTCTCCTGGGGTCTTCCTTCCCTTCCAGTGACTCAATCACCCCTCCCCACACCAAGAACTCCCAGCCTCCCTAGCTCTGCCTCCCGAGCGACCTCCATGCCTGGACCACAGCCCCATCCCCAGCCTGCCCTCAGCCTCCTGTCTGAGCCTCCCAGGCCATTGCAGCCCCCCAGGCCCTGCAGCACCCCTCATCCAGCCTTAGTCTCCCAGGAACCTGCTCTCTGCTCCTGGCATCCATGGCCCACACCAGGTCTTGGCAGATCCTGGGAGCTGGGGGTCTCCTCAAACCCCCCCTGCTGCCCAGCACCTTCCTGGGCCTCAGCTCCTGCTACCCCCAGGAGCAGCAGTGTCTGCACAGCCCACCATCCTGTCTGTTACCTCCGATGGCTCCAGCAACAAAATCCATGAACAAGGTGTGGCGGGGAGGTCCTGGGTCTGCCTTCCTGAGAGGGCTCTGGTGCCACCGGGGTGGCCTCAACAGCTCCCAGCTGACTCCTCTCAGACCTTAAATACCTGTGGCAGGGGAGGGGACCGGAAGCAAAGCCTGCTGAGGCCACGTGGCACACAGCTGGGCTCCCTCCCCTGCCCCCAGGACCCTTGTCCCAGTGCCCTCGGGACCCAGGTGTCAGGAAAGCACAGAAGAGAGCGCAGGAGGTGGCAGACACCAGGGAGCAGGGTCACTGCCCCACCACATCCAAACACCTCCTGGGGAGGTCCAGAGATGGGGCTGTGACAGCTCCCGCCCTCCAGGTCCAAGCTCAAGCCTTCACTCTGTCCCCTGGGCTTTCCTGACTCCCTTGGATTTGCTCAGGACCCCTTGCCCGGGAAACTTGCAAAGCTCTCTCACTTACTCACTCAACAAACACTTCCTTTGCTGACGCTACACCCAGGCAAGACAGCCAGTCCCTGTCCTCAAGGTGCTCCAGTTGTCAGGGAGGGAGGGGGTCGGGGGAACAGGCCTGAACCCAGGAACATCACCCACCACCTGTTCTCGCCCTTCCTGCTGCCCCGGTTCCCTGCTGTCTGCTCCATGGGAATGCGTCTCCCCGGACCCAGAGGCCAAGGTCAGGGCTGCCTCACCAGGCCCCCATGACTGCATGAACCAAGGACAGAGGCTCTGCCGATTCAGCCTCTGAACCAGCTGGCTGGGGCCCACCTGAAGGGGAGACCTCTCCACTAAGAGGCTACGTCTGTCTGCTGGGCACTGTAAAAACAGGGACCTCCTCACCTGTGCACCCCACCTTACAGTTCACCAAGCTTCTCTCACTCTCAGGTTCTAGGATCCTCCTCACCGCCTCAGAAGGGAGGCAGCACAGCATTAGTGCTGCCCATTTCACAGATGGGGCCACTGAGACCCAGAAAGCGGGCTTGTTTAAGGCCACGAGGGCGGCAGGGCTGGATATGATCCCCAGATGCTCTCACACAACCCACCCTCTGGGATATTCAGGGCCCACCTGGGGAGGCCCCAGTGGGCTCTCAAGGCGACTCAGTGCATGCCACATGTGACCTGCGCTGCAGCCCTGTGAGATCTCCACAGGGGACACCAAGGCTCAGGGAGGCTGTGCAGGTGCCTCAGTCACACAGCTGCTAAGCAACAGACCAAATGAGTGCCCCACAGACTGGAATGCCAGCAGGATAGGGGAGGGGCAAGTGTTGACGCATAGACCCAGGCAGCCCATCTGGGTGGCCCTCGGGGCAGGTGGCAGGGCCAGGAGGCTGTTTGTCTACCTGTTTTCCTGTCCTCTAATGGCCAGACCTGCAGGCTGGCCTTGAGCAGGCTGAGAGTTGACGGAGGGACAGCCCCCCTGACAGCCTAACTGTTTGTAGGCAAGTAGGAGACACAGGGTTAGCAGTGCCAGCTGCTATGGCAGAGGGTAAAGGGCAGTAAGTGGCCCATCCAAGGCCAGTCCTGATGCTAGTCCTGGCCCTCAAGGGGATGAAGCTTAGCGTCTGGTTAGAAGCTGGCTGCCTGACTTTAAAGCCCAACTCTGCCACTCATAGTTGAGACCATGGGCCAGCCCCTTGACCACTCCGTGCCTCCACTTTTGCATCCATGAAATGAAGAGAGTACCTGCCTCATATCTGCAACTGCTCAGGGCAAGGTCTGGGCATGTCCCTGTGAGAGTGGCCAGCTACATGCTAAGGCTGCATTAACAGAAGCATAGAGTCTGGAAAGAAGGAGGTGACTGGCCTGTTCTGGGCAGGGCAAATACAGCTGAGACTTGGGTTCGATTGCTGATGCTACACTCGAGAAGCCAGTACCTTGGGTGCTGAGGGAGTTTGAAGCATGGTGTCTAACTGACAGAACAGGGACCGTTCAGATCCATGTTTCCTGCACAGCATCTAATGCAGCAAGTGCCAGTCACCCACAGCACCTGAGCCACAAGTCCAGGAGTTGCCCTGGACACCTCTCTCTCTCCACCCCACATCCAGAGTCCCCAGTCCTATGTGTCAACCTCTTAAATTCACATTCAGATCCCTTCACCACTGTCCGTCTGCACAGCCCCAGCCGTGTCATCACCCCACGGACAGCGGCCTGCCCTGCCCATGCCCTCTACTCATGAAACCAAGGCTGCCTGTCGAGTTTTAGGCACTGAGACACATCAGTAAACACAACAGATAAAAACCCTTGCCCTGGGCCAGGAGCAGTGGCTCACGCCTGTAATCCCAGCACCTCGGGAGGCCGAGGCGGGTGGATCACAAAGCCAGGAGTTCGAGACCAGCCTGGCCAATATGGTGAAACCTCGTCTCTACTAAAAATACAAAAAGTTAGCCAGGCGTGGTGGTGGACGCCTGTAGTCCCAGCTACTTGGGAGGCTGAGGCAGGAGAATTGCTTGAACCTGGGAGGCGGAGGTTGCAGTGAGCCGAGATTGGGCCACTGCACTCCAGCCTGGGAGACACAGCAAGACTCTGTCTCAAAAAAAAAAAAAAAAAAAAAAAAGCCCTTGCCCTGGTGGACCTTATGCTCAGGGAGGAGGACAGCCAGTCAACAGATGAACAGCCAAAATACAGAGCACCCCCAATGGCAGCAAGTGCCAGGAGAGAAATAAGGTCTTGGGGAGAGGGAGACTTGCAGGGGGTGTTAGGGAGGCCCCAGAAGGTGACATTTGAGACAAGCCTGTTCTCTCAGTCATCGCAGCCAGGTTTTACCTGCTCTTTGTCTCCTGAATGAACATGCCCTAGCTTGACCCTCTTCTCCAAGGCAGAAACAGAAAACAGGCCACCCCACCATTTAGGCTGCTCCGTGCAGGTCTCAACATCTCCCCACTCAGCTGTGGGCTTTGGGTAGGCAGGGTGTTGCTGGGTTTGTCTCCACACCCACGACACTCAGCACAGGCGGGCACTGGGGAAGCCAGGTAAATAAGTATGAGAGAAAATGAGTCAGTGAACAGATGGAAGGATGGATGGATGGGTGGAGGGATGGAGGGATGGAGGGACGGATGGAGGAGGGCTGGACAGACAGATGGATGGATGGGAGACAAATGGAGGAGGGAGGGATGGGCAGGTAGACAAATGGATGGATGGGAGGAGGGCTGGACAGACGGATGAGTGGACGATGGACAGAGGGACGAGTGGTTGGATGAAGGGGTAGAGCAATGAAGGCATGGACAGAAAGACAGATGGCTGGAAGGATGGACAGGCTGGCAGGGGCCCCACAAGAAAGGCGTGAGACAGTGTTGCAGAATCTGGGACAGGCCATCAGTCAGTCTACACCCTCAGTACCCTCACTGTGCCAGGCCCTAAAGATCAAAGGGACTTCAAGAGGATGTCACCCACCTGCCCCCATCACCCCATCCATCCTTTCCACCAAGCACCTTCTCCTCCCCGAAGGTGTTCACCTGGAGGCCCTGCACTCCCAGGTGTCCTCAGCTGGAGATAGCCAATGGCATTAGATGACTTTACTTACTTTTTTATTTTTTATTTTTATTTTTTTAGATGGAGTCTCGCTCTGTCGCTCAGGCTGGAGTACAGTGGCGCAATCTTGGCTCACTGCAACCTCCATCTCCTGGGTCAAGTGATTCTCCTTGAACCAAGGAGGAGGAGGTTGCAGTGAGTTGCCTCTTGAGTAGCTGGGATTATAGGTGCGTACCACCATGCCCAGCTAATTTTTTTGTATTTTTGGTAGAGATAGGGTTTCACTATGTTGGCTAGGCTGGTCTCAAACTCCTGACCTCAAGTGATCCACCCATGTCAGCCTCCCAAAGTGCTGGAATTACAAGAATGAGTCACCGCACCCGGTGGCATTAGATGATTTTAAACAATCATTATTCTTGTTAGGTGCAATAATGGCACCAAAGTTCTATGAGGAAATGCCTATATTTCTTAGAGATACAAACAGAAGTACCTGGTGGTAAAATGGCATGATGGCTGAAATTTAATTTAACATTGTCTGGCAAAAAAAGAAAGGAAGAAAAGGAGAACGATGATGACTATGTGACCTTTGTTGTAGTCCGTGATAAAAAGTAGCAGCCGGGTGTGGTGGCGCATGCCTGTAGTCCCAGCTACTCAGGAGTCTGGCGGGGGAGGACGACTTGAGCCCGGGAGTTCTGGGCTGTAGTGCGCTGGGCTGATTGTCCCATACGCTACAGTCAGCATCCATATAGTGACCTCCCGGGAGTGGGAGACCACCAGGTTGCTTAAGGAGGGGTGAACCGGCCCAGGCTGGAAATGGAGCAAGTCAAAACCCCTGTGCCAATCAGTAGTGGGACTGTGCCTGTGAATAGCCACCGCACTACAGCCTGGGCAACATCGCGAGTGAGACCCCATCTCAAAAAACTAAACAAGCAGTAAAAGGGGGCCGGGTGCGGTGGCTCACGCCTGTAATCCCAGCACTTTGGGAGGCCGAGGAGGGCGGATCACGAGGTCAGGAGGGCGGATCACGGGGTCAGGAGATCGAGACCATCCTGGCTAACACGGTGAAACCCCATTTCTACTAAAAAATACAAAAAATTAGCCGGGCGAGGTGGCGGGCGCCTGTAGTCCCAGTTACTCGGGAGGGTGAGGCAGGAGAATGGCGTGAACCCGGGAGGCGGAGCTTGCAGTGAGCCCAGATGGCGCCACTGCACTCCAGCCTGGGCAACAGAGCAAGACTCCATCTCGGTGCCACTGCAGTCCAGCCTGGGCAACAGAGCGAGACTCCGTCTCAAAAGAAAAAAAAAAAAAAGTAGTAAAAGGGCCACTGCACTCCAGCCTGGGTGAAGGAGTAAGGCTCCTGTCTCAAAAATAAAAATAAAAATAAGTAGTAAAAGAACAGTGAACAAGAATGAAGCTGCTTATACCTTGCCCAGCCTCCTTCCAGGCCTCATCGATCCTGCCTGGTGGAGGGGAGGAGCCCTCAGCCTAGGGTCTGGCCCGGGGCTCTGCCTCTCCCAGCTGTGCTACCCTGGGCCGGTGGCATGACCTCTCTGGGTCTTGAATTTTCCAGCAGTCGATGGACCTGGAGTCTTCTGCGGACGGCAGGAGGCAGAGCCTGGGAG